TAAGACTAACCATTATGGGGTCCTTGCAACATTAGCTCCCACCTGAAAACTTCCAGCCCACTAGCCTGCCCTACATACATCAGACCTGCCAGCCCCCACAGTCTCATAAGCCAATCCTTATTGGTCTGTTTCTCTGGAGAACCCTGACTCATATAGGCTCTGAGCAGAGCTCGAGGGTGCAAAGCTTTTCTCTGTCACTTCTCATTTGCTTCATCTGTAAAATGGGGATAATAACAGTACTGTACTCAACTCATAGCAACTAGAACAACCACTGGCACGGAGCAAATACTTTGAAAGCTTTTGTTAGACAGGTAATTCTGTGCTGCTGAGTTTATTTCTTAGCTAGAAAACTTGAGATATTTTTATTCCCAAGAATTTTCCATCAACCAAACATGATCACTCTTTCCCACACCAACAGAACAGTCTCAGAACAGCTGTCTCAACCAGTTAAGGATGCCTAATTGTTCTTTAGATGATGTAGGAGCAGGAGCAGTTGCCAGGCCAACTCTATACACAGGAAAGTTTTGGCAAAGCTGGGTCAGAGCAGTTCTGGAACATTCTTAACTCTGCAAGTCCTCAGCTGCTCAAAACAGCTGTGCTTAAGGAGGCTGACAGTCAACACAGAGCTATTCCTACTATTTACAGAGTTCGACCTTCAGAACAGAGTCCTAATCATTCTTTCTATTCCCACTATTGATAACCCTATAGCAGCTTACTCTGACCTCTGGGGATGAAAGATTAAACAAGGAATCGAAATGTTTTTAGGGGCACACAATCTGGGGTGAGAGTATGATGATGGTGCTGATGGTAGTAACTGACATTTATTGAGAACTTACTAGGGGCCAGACTCTGTTCTCAGGCTATACATATGTTAACTCATATAAACCTCATTGAACAAATGAAGAAACTGAGTCCTTAAGATAAAAATTAGTCGTTTAAGGATGGACAGACATGGAGAAGGAAATGGCAACCCACTCCAGTACTCTTGCCTGGAAAATCCCATGGGCGGAGGAGCCTCATAAGCTACAGCCCATGGGGTCACGAAGAGTCGGACATGACTGAGCTACGGTGACACAGATATGAAGTAAAAAATAGTGCTATCTTTAAAACAAAAAAATTAAAAAAAAAAAAAAAAAGGATGGACAGACAGCAAGTGTCGGGGCTGGGACTCAACTTCCAGCTTTCTGGCTCAGAGCCAGGATCTCCTTCCTGTGTACATTGCCTCTGAGTCTGGATTGTAAGGAGCGAGTCCATGTGGGAGCAGGCAAAGGAACAGTACAGAACTGGGCTGTGATTGATCAGAGGGCGTGAGAGGGTCAGGGATGCTATGGTTAAGTCCATTTATTTTAGATGGAAGAAATTTCCAAAATTGAAGTAGAACAAACCATATACAATATTCTTTCATGAAATTCTTTTAAGTATATAATGTGTCTGCTTTTATACATCAATATCAACGTTCATTAAAGAGTCATACCACAGTATTTGCACCTTTCATTTTCATAAAAAAATTTAAGACAAAGTGATCTTGAAATTATTTCTTATTTGTTCACTAGCAGTACAAGAAAATCAAATACCTTCTTACTTGATTACTCTCATTTGATTACATTTTATACCAACTTCTCCTTACCAACTTCTCCTTCCAGTGATGGAAACATGCAGTGTATTTAGAATACTATTACCCTGACTTAAATCTGAAGAGGTTATGCTGAAAATGGCCAAGTGTTCAGGTCCCACAAACATCTTTTGTATACCTAGCTGAGGTTCCCAAAGTCAGGGAGATGGGAGTTAAGAATGGCACTCTATAGACTTCTCTGCTGGTCCAGTGGTTAAGACTCCATGCTTCCACTGCAGGAGGTGCTGGTTCGACCCCTGGTCAGGATACTAAGATCTCACATGCTGCCCATGTGGGCACTCTAGAATTCTAGGGACATAAAGTTCTTTTCTACAGCCACCTGCCTCTCTTATCTGTCTCCCAGGCATTTTCACAGGGCAGGTAGGAGGATACTGCTTTCTATCTTCCTTGCAGAAATGGGCCGGTCATACTAACATTCCTTATCTATGAACTGATTCCCCATGAGGAAAAAATTGGATTGGATGTTCACACAGTGCTCTAAAATAATAGGATTACACCCTTAAGTCCATAAAATTCTCTCAAGAAGAATAAGCCAACAAAATATGTCTCATTGGGAGTGTTTTCATAAGAAAAAAAAACTTTAGTACCAGATTTTGGGTGTTCTAATATAGAGATTCTTGGTTTTCACTTACTCTGGAGATAGATAGGTCTATTATTTTAGTTAAATACATCCAATGAACAACATTCCAGCTAGTCCTTCGTAAATTCCGAGAGGCACCTCTGCAAAACATCATCCTTTAATAAAAGCATCAGGACACAGCCTACTGTTGCTACTGCTGGGTACAGCCCAGGTAGGAAGAATTCACACTGGCAGCTACCATGTGTGCTGGGGCAATAGGCGACAGTCACATCACAGTCCCTCACCTTATACATCAACCCAAGTAAAATCCTGAGGTTTCAAAGCCAGGTTATGAGAGCCCAAAGGCTCATCAGTCAACTTCAGGCCAAATATGTCACTGCGATTTTTCCTATGATGGTCTGCTAGTCATCGAGCCAAGCTTCTTCCTTCACTCTTTGAATAAAAATGCTTCTGGCTTGCTTTTTGTTTGTTTTGTCTTTTTAAAATGAATGACCATTTAAAAAAAACAAAAATAAAATGAATGACCATTTAAAAGTATAAGTCTATGCTAAAGAGTCACCTTTAATATCAACTGAACAATCATCAAAGAAAACCTATAAAATTGAACGTTGGTTTCTGGCTGTCATCTCATATGTTAAGATGTTGCTAGCCTGGTGTGAAAGATGGTTAGACAGCAAGCAAGACTGAATGCATGGAAAGCTCAGTTGAGCTCCTTTTTGTGTTTCCATTTCTGTCCATCGGCTTTCCCATGGGCAAGAAGACGCCTCCTATCACAGAGTCGTCCCTCTCTTAGGTCAGCAGACACTACAAGTGAAATTTGCAAAGGATGGATACACTGGCTTGGGTGTGGTCACCGGCAAAGGGAAGCATTGATCCCCTAGCTGCCGGCTTTAAGTCCAGGAGCTGCACCCGTGGCGGGTGATCTCCACGACTGCTTCTCTCCATTTTATCACAAATCGCACCAGCCCTGATTGCTCCAAGAACGCACAGCACACGCGTCCGCATCGTCAGACAAAGCCGGCTACTCAGGGAGCCCGCTCAGCACCGAGGCGACCTCCACAGGTCTTCCTCTACCCCGACCGTCTCGGTGGTTGGTCAGCAGCAAGGGGCAGGGGGCGGCGCCGCAGCCAGAAGGTACCAAAGCCAGGGGCGGCGTCTGTCTGCGGGTCCCACAGTCTGGGGGGCGGGGATGCGCGACTCACATCAGAGAATTACCAGCGGGGTTTTTTGCCCTAACACAAACCCCAAGAGAAGAGCACGTGCCCTTTGATTTCTCCAGGAGTGTTTTCTGCACCAGAAAACCGCACACTCGAGCTCTAGGGGTGCCCTAGCTCGTGGTGTGGAGGACACCAGTGCCGGCTATTGTTCTCCGGGTCTCCCGGGCGGGAGGCGGCCCCCATTCCGCCTCCCAGGCATCACCTGCCGCTGGACCAAGCCTTTCAGCTTTGCGAAGAAAAGGGTGTGCCTGTGGCGCTGCGGATTATCACAAAACCCTAAACGAGTCCCTAAGGGCTGGTGTCAAGCCGGGAGACAAAGCTCCTCGTAGGGACAGCCGGCTCGGCCCCCGATCCGCCATCCCGAGTCTGTCGCCGGGTCCAAGAGCCACGCCCAGCCAGCCACAGGACCGCCGGGCCCCTCGCCGGGGCTGAGGGTCTTTGGGCCCGAGACCCGCCTCCCCCCACCCCCAGCTGCCTTCCCCTCCCTTCCCGGGAGACCTCCCTCCCCAAGGAGACCCCTCCCTCTCATCGCGTGGGTCTCCTCCTCCCCAGCGTCTACTCTTCTCTAACCCAGGCAGTCTCCACCCTCCCGCATCCCTCCTCCCTTCCACATCCTTCATCAGCCCCAGCCTCGCCTCGCGCCACCTGCTCCGAGCTCCGACCCTCCCTGCTCAGACCCTTCTCTTTCCTCAAACCTGTCTCCAGTGCCCCCTCCTCCCACCCATCCCTATCTTCCATCTTTCGCATCTTTGCTCAAACGGAGGCCTCGCCTCCGCCTCTCTCCATCTCAGCTCCTCTCCAACTCGGACTCCTGCCTCCTCCCCCGGCCTGGGGCGTCTCCCGCCAAGATCGATGCCCCGGGGAGGGCTCCCGCGCTGGGCTCGGGCGAAGGGACCCAGCTTGGCGCCCGCTCTGGGCTGGGCAGCGAAAGGCGGCCTTTGTGGTTCAGACAGGTGCCTCCAGAGGCGGCCGGCTAATAGTCCACCCGTTAGCCGGACGGGTGGACGGACCGCTCGGTCTGGTCCAGGCTGAGTAAACTCCAACCTGGAGGCTAGAGGGACAGAGGGTGTGTGTGTGTATGCTGGGGGCGTGTGGCGGGGGAGGGGGGGGCGGGCTGGCGGTGATCCGTGCGGGCAGAGGACCGCGCGCAGATCTAAGGTATCGGGCAGGACGGGCCCACGGCCAGAGAAGCTCCCGCCCAGCCCTCCAGCCATTCACTGCACCTCGACGAGGCTGGGCGTCTACTGTGTGCTAGGAGCGAACCCCTTCCACCAAGCCAGCCTCCTCACCCCAGTTCTTTGCAATCCCGCGAGCATCTATTAAACGCCTACTATGAATAAGGTACCGCTCGGCGCTCCGGGAACTCTGTGGGCTTACAAAGAGGAACCGATTCGGGTCCCAATTTTAGCCCGAATTCCAAACCACACCTCCCGCCGCGTTCCCAGCAGCCGGTTCTCTGGGCGCACTCCGACCCCAGCCCTATTGTGCTCCTCCCAGAGAAACAGACTGTCTGAGATGGACGTCCCAGCCCGGGGAGAATAAGCCCACCGCCCTCCCTGCCATCACCCACTCCTCCGGGATGCCGCGGCTGCGGGGTTCTGTCGGTGGGTGGGTTCTCCTCCTGTCTCGCCGCGGCGCCGGCGCTGCGGGTGCTCTGGGCGGCGCGGCTGCACGCGCGCTCGCTTGATCGCCGCCTTGGCGCGCGGGGGCTTCGGAGTCCGAAGCCGCGAGCGGGGGAGGGGACTTGGGTGGGGGCTGGAGGAGGCCTCCGCCAATCACCGGAGCGACAGCTCCTCCCCAGCGCTCCCCACCTCGCGCTAGCAGGTTAGGGGGAGGCGGGGACCGGCGGCGCCCTGCATCCTCGGCGCCGCGCGCGGCCACCGCCTGGGGACTACAACTCCCGACAGGCCCTGCCGCGGGGCCAGGGTCCGAGAGGGGACGAAGGGCGCGGCCCGAGAACCAGCCGACCCCGGGCGCCCTTCTCTGCGTTCCTTCGGATTTCCATGGTGACTCAAGACACTTCACAAAGCCCGGGCGCTTGAACGCGCTGATGCACGGGTCCCCTGGGACAGCTACCGCGTCCCCTCCCCCCGCAGAACCCCACCCGAGAGGCTGGAACAATGTCCTCGTCGCCTCTCCCCGGCTGCTGGCTGCTGCCGGGCCTGCCCTTCTCTGCAGGCGGGGTTAAGGCCGCCTGATTACCGCCGAGACCCAGTCCTACCCTGGGCGCCGGGCGGAATTGTAGGATGGAGAGAGTGGGATGTAGTTATAGGAAAATGTTCCCATATACAACGTGATCGGCCACGCGGGGTCACCTCAGTTCGCATCTGTCCCTTCTGGGGCCTCGAACCCGGAGTTCATGTTCTCGGCTACCGCTTCTCCATCCAGGGCTCTCAGGTCCAAGCTCCCTGTCCAATTTCTGAAACCTCCTACCAGGGTGTGGTGAATGAAGCCTTTGAAAATGTTTTGTAACTCAGTTTACCTTCGCTTCACCCTTTTTCTTCAACTTTTGCATACACACATAATCTAACAAAATCAACAAGTCTAAAAAGGGGAGGATCGCCAGGCCTTTACCTCCTTCCAGATAGCCTCTCAACCCTTTACCCAGTTATCTGTTCTTTCCTGTAGTTGTAATAATAGCTTAGATACAGTTCAGTAATTTGACTGTTTTCACTTAATGCGTTGCTGTTGATACAGTGTTAAAATGCAGCGTTGAGTCCTCATTCCAACCGGGGAACCCCAAGGGGCTGCTGCAAAAGCCCTTCCCCAGCAGGGCCCCTGGGAAGTGGTGAAGATGGGAGAGTTCCCTGACTGTAGCCGCACAACCATGGCCCCAAGAGATGTTTCTCCTGGCAGGATATTTTCAAACAAAACTGTGCTTCATTACACCAAAAGGCCTTCCCACCAACCACCACCCACTCCCCAACCCCGTCTCAGCAAAATCTGAGGGTGCCCGGCCTCCAGAGAGCCCATCGGAGTGAGGTCTCCTTGGGTCCCTTGCTCTGTATTCTTTTGCTGTTGGCTCAGAGCTTGCAGCCCACCAGGCTGGCAGTTGGGCCTCACTTCTGGAGTACTACCACCAAGCCTCCACTTCTCCTGGGAGGAAGGTTTTCTTTTCTGTTCCTTCTCACATCCTGAGCTTATGGAGGGAGACCAACTCCCACCTCCACCCCACCCCCTTACCCCTGGCCACCCGCATTGAACATTGTTAGTTGTTAGTTATTCAGTCTCCAAGTCATGTCTGACCATTTGCGATTCCATGGACTGCAGCACACCAGGCTTCCCAGACCATTACTATTTGCTGGAGTTTCCAAAATCTCATGTTCGTTGAGTAGGTGATACCATCCAACCATCTCATCCTCTGTCGCCCCCACTTCTCCTCTTGCCCTTAATCTTTCCCAGCATCAGGGTATTTTCCAATGAGTCGACTCTTCGCATCAGGTGGCCAAAGTATTGCAGCCTCAACTGATGAACTCAAAGCATCTCTAATCCAGAGGAGGGTGGAATGTGGTTGTGAAAACATGGGGCAAATGGCTCCTCCTTCCCCCACTGCTCCAGCTTGGGGAAGTACCAAGGGATTTCCCTAAGGCTGGCCAACTTCTGCTGCTGTCCCAGGGATTTGGGTAAAATGGGTTGAACTTGAGGGAGGTGGAGTGGAGCAGGCTCAGGGCAGCAGGGTCCACTTGCAAGGGCCAGGCTGCACTTTTTGCCTAAGGAGGAGGGAGCCCTCTAGTGGCAGTAAGCTTTCTTTGCAGCATTTAATGGACCTCTCGTTTGGACTTCTGCTTTCTTTGCTTAATTGGGCCTGCCTCCCCAGGTCAGAAAAGAGCTGCCTAGAGGTTATTTGCTGGCCTGGAGCATTGCTAAAAGTCACATCCAAAAATGAGGCTATAAATGGTCCTGGTAGTTGATTTTAGTTCTATGTATTTTTAACTTAGCCTCCATCTCTTGGAAAGTAGAAGGAAAACAGGGCTTGGGGTTCACACATTTCTAGGTTAGAATCTTTGCTCTACTTTCTGGATACTTGACTTTTTGAGAGAGTTGCTCGGTCCATCTGAGCCTTAGCTCCCCAGAGTGTGGGGACCATGTGTGTGTGCTAAATCGCTTCAGTTGCATCTGACTCTGTGCGATCCTATAGACTGCAGCCTGCCAGGTTCCTCTGTCCATGGGATTTTCCAGGCAAGAAAACTGGAGTGGGTTGCCGTGCCCTTTTCCAGGGGATCTTCCCAATGCAGGGGTAGAACCTGCATCTTTTAACGTCTCTGCGTTGTCAGGGGTGTTCTTAACTGATCAGTGCCCCCTGGGAAGCCCTGAGTATGGGGACCATAATACATTCTTTTAACCTTGCTGTGATAATTACATGAGGAAATGCATATAAAAGGCATAGTATACTACCTAACATATAGCATACATTCAACAAATTTAGCTATTATTGTTCACTTATTCAACAATAAGTGGTTACTGAACAGTGTGCTACTATTATAACAATCACAAAAGGAAGTATGTTGTGACTTTTATTGTAGAGCTCCCAAGACCAGCTTAGGTGAAAGATCATCAGCTGGATTTGAATTTCACCTGGATATTGACTTGCAGGATTCTTCTAAGCAGAGGGCTGAGATTCCAGGATGAAGGAGTAAAAGTCTGTGGGTAGCGAAGCTGAGGGGAAGACAGCTGAGGATCCCATCATGGGTTAAAAGTCAAGTTTGTGGATGGACGTGGGAAGAGAGGGGAATGGCAAGGTAGGCTGGAGTCAGGGCCTTCACAAAACTCAGGACTACTGGCTTTTATGAGAAAATGTGTTGGGGGTTCCAAATTGCCTTAATAGCAAGCTTTTTTCTTTTTCTAAGAGTTTTTTGTTTATTTTTCTAAGTTTTTTTTTTTTTTTAATGTCGACCTCTTCTAAAGTCTTTATTGAATGTGTTGCAATGTTGTTTCTGTTTTTTATCCTGGTTTTTTGGCCTTGAGGCATGTGGGATCTTAGCTCCCCAACCAGGGATCGAACCAACACACCACCCACCACCCCTCCCCCATCACATGGCATTGGATGGCAAAGTCTTAGCCACTGAACCACCAGGGAAGTCTCCTATAGTAATCTTCTGAATAATTGACATGCAAAGGACTATCATAAAAAGGGAGGGAGGAAAGACTAGTAGGTGTTATTTGTTTGGTTTTTAAATATTTATTTATTTGGCTGCACTGGGTCTTAGTTGCCACATTTGGGATCTTTAGTTGCAGCAAGTGAACTCTCAGTTGCAGCATATGGCGTCTGTTTCTCTGACCAAGGATTAAACCTGGGCCCCCTGCATTGGGAGCTCAGAGTCTTAGCCACTAGATCACCAGGGAAGTCTCTAGGTAGGTGTTTTTAGAACACATTTGAGCCTTTCCACCACCCCACATATGGCAGTAGCACTGCTCGTTTCTTGCAGACAAGGAGACCCGCATCTCAAGACTCAGAGCAGCAGAACCATGTTATTCTGGGCCCCATCTACCTGATGCAAAGCTGAGCTCTTCCTGCTCCAGCCTGCCCTCCCCTGCAGAAGGTGACAGACTACAGTGACTCTGAATGAGTGACTCTCAAGGGAAGCCGAGACAAGTCACTGGCACCCAGAGGTTCCTCCTAGTTTCACCTGGTCCTCTGAGAAGGGTGTGCTGCACCATCCCTGAGGACCTTCATGCTAAATTTCTTCCTCTGCTTTCTCTTTCCATCTCTTCCCTTGGCTCATACTCCATGATAACCCTACTCTGGAGAACTCATTAGCCATGAAAAAAAAAAATTGTGAGCCAGCAGTCAAATTTCTATATTCAGGTCAGCGCCACCGGGCAGAGGCCAAAAAGGCATCAGCAAGATGGACAAATGGACATTGCAAGAAAACAGAGGAAGCATGAAGAAAATCAGATAAACAAACAGGAACAGAGGAGAGTGAGACTGGAAGTTTCAGACCCCAGAGCTGTGGCCACCCAGCCTGACACAGAGTCACGGGAGAGGAGACCTGGGGAGGCTGGGGGTGGCAGTGCTTGAGCTGAAAACAGCAAAGTAAATTCCTGTGGCTTATCACTACCCTTGAAATGCTGGTGAGCTCTTCAAACTGAGAGTCAGCACTATGGTCCCTCTGTCATCACCTCACTAGATGAACAGGATGCCCTGGGCCACTTCTTCCAGTACCGAGGGACCCCTTCCCACTTCCTGGGCCCGCTCACCCCCACGTTGGGGAGCTCTCACCGCAGTGCCACGCCGGCACCCCCTCCTGGCTGTGTCAGTAGCATTGTGGCCCCTGGGGGGACCTTAAGGGAGGGGCATGGAGGACCCCTGCCCTCAGGTTCCTCTTTGGCTGGCTGTCGGTCAGACATCATTTCCCTAGACTGAGTCTCCCAACACTGAACAAGTATGCTGTGGAGTCTAGACTCCTGGCCGCTCTGACCCCTTGGGGTGGGGAGGGGGCTTTGGTCAAAGGCCAGAAATACCTTCATGGACACTGGTTTTTTGGCCTTATCTCTGCCTGACGAGGCTAGCACCCAAAGGGTTAATATTTAACCTCTTTTTAAGGACATCTGGGGTCTGTTTTTGTAAATGTTCTTTGACATCCAGCACATTTCTTTGGGTCCGTTAACCTAGGCAGTGGGAGGCAGATGGGATGGGACGTGAGCTGGGGAAAGGGCTGAATCCTCAGCCTTGACCGTCTTGAGCCTTGTGGGGAGGGGGCTTTTCTCGTGTCCGCC